TTTTTTTTTTTTTTTTTTTTTAGTTCTAGTTATTGTTCCGTATAATTGAATTGTAGATTTTATCGTTAAAGTGAGATTACAGTGCGTACATACAATAACAAATGTATGCTATACTATTATTAGTATGTCAAAAGTGTTTTTTTTTTTTAGTAAAATCTAATATTATCATCATCTTTCTTATTCTCATCTAAACTAAAACAAGTTAATCTCGATTCTATAATAAGTCATTTGAAATCTAAAGAGGCCGGCCGGCCGGCCGGCCGACTTTATCGTTCATTCGTAAAATATCTTATAGTAAAGCAACACGATTATATTCCTAGCTTCTATTTATCTACAAACGAGCCTTTCGAATCGTTAGACTATGGCTATTAACTGTGCTCCTTGCTAAACTCTATTACCTTCTAATCTTATCGTGTGCACTACTATACGAGTTTTAGAACTAAACACGCACGCACGCACGCGTCTATCATAAACCAAAAGATGAAAATATCATTTTAAAATAGAATAATTACACACACCCCTTTTTTTGTTTTTTTGTTTTTTTTTTTTCATTTATATAAGTTTTGTATCTTTATATCTAACATTTTTATCTGCAATTAAATTATTATTTATTTTTTTTTTCATTAAATATGCAATTTTACGTAATTAAATATTCCATGTAAATTTTAGATGATTTATATTTATAATTATGGGATAATATTTTATATTTAAATTTAACATAACATTTTTATAACATTTTTATCTAGAATTACATTATTATTAGTTTTTTTTTTATTAAATATGTAATTTTACGTAATTAAATATATTCCATGTAATTTTAGATAATTTTAGATCAAAATTGAACTGAAATTTTCTTTTTAGTTTTTCCTCTAATAACTCATTCAAACCTAATTTAGACTTTCCCATAAATTTATTGTTTTCTTATTATTTATTTTTCATTTACTTATATAATCTTAATATATATATATAAATTTCGTGTCACATTGTTTGTCCGCAATGGACTCCTAAACAATGAAACCGATTTTAATCAAATTTTGCACACTATGTGCAGTTACATCCAACTTGAAAGATAGGATAGTTTATATCTCAAATTATAATCGCAATATTATTTGTTTATTAACAAAGAGTCATAATTATCTCTGTTAGTTCGATAAGATTCTAACAGATGGCGGTATAAGGTAATTCATTGGCTTAACACGTTGATGCCGGCGCCGATTTTCAGTGTCTGCACTGTGGAGCGGCACTCGAATCTAAGATGCGCTTCATCTGGCGGCGCGTGATATTTGCTTGTTCAAACCTGGACCAAGGTGGACCACCGGTGGTACGCGCCGCCCGATGAGACAGTCTAGTGCGGGCCATCGGTGGTACG